AGCTCTTAGGGCAATGGGAACTAAGGAGGAAATAAACAAATGGGACTACATGAAAATAAAAAGCTTCTACACAGGAAAAGAACCATCAACAAAACAAGAAAGCCCACTGCATGGGAGAATATATTTACCAATGCTACCTCACAAAAGGGATTAATCTCCAAAATGAACAGTAACTCATTCAAATTACCAAAAGGAAGATAAACAATCCAGTAAAAAAAAAAAATGGGCTGGGCAAAGCACCTAAATAGACACTTTTCAAAAGATGACATGCAGAATGCGGAGAGGCATATGAAAACATGTTCAAAGTCACTAATAATCCAAGATTATCTCACACCTATCAGAATGGCTATCATCAACAAATCAACAAATGACAAGTGCTGGTGAGGATGTGGAGAAAAAGGAACCCTTTTGCACTGCTGGTGGGAATGCAGACTGGGGCAGCCACTGTGGAAAACAGTATGGAGTTTCCTCAAAAAGTTAAAAATGGAATTTCCATTTGACCTAGTAATCCCACTTCTAGAACTACATACCAAGAAATAAGAAACACCAATCAGAAAGGATATATGCACCCCTATGTTCACAGCAGCACAATTTATAATAGCTAAGATTTGAAAACAGCCTAAGAGCCCATCGACAGAAGAGTGGATTAAAGAACTGTGGTACATTTACAATGGAATAATATTCTATATAATAATCCTATATAATAAATACCTAATATGCTAATTAGACCAAACAGCAGAACAACCGTCTGGACAACATTCTGGACAAAGCCAGAGCTGTGAGGGCCAGCTGAGGCAGTGAGGGACTGCAAGGGATGGCCAGGGCTGTGAGGGCCAAACCCCTTGCATGGATTTCATGCATCAGACCTCTAATGTTGATATAAATAAGAAGGAACTTTTACCATTTGCAACAGCATGAATATAACTGGAGAGCATTATATTAAGAGAAATAAACCAGCCAGAGAAAGATAAATATCACATGATCTCACTCATATGTGGGATATAATGAACAACATAAACTGATGAACAAAAATAGATCTAGAGGCAAAGTAATACTGAACAGACCATCCAACCTCAGAGAGAAGGCAGGGAAGGGAGGGGTTAGAGATCAACCAAAGGATTTGTATGTATGAATAACCAGTGAACACAGACACTGGGGTGGTGAAGGCCTGTCCTGTGAATGGGAGTGGCCAGGGTGGTATCAATGGGGGATAAAGGAGACATATGTAACACTTTATATAAAATAAAATAAAAATTTGAACTCCATCGGTGAACACACTTCGCGGACCCGACATTCCAAAGCAGAAAGTTCGATGCCTCCCTCTTTCTTCTGCGGCCAGCAAAAGAAAAAATGGGGAGGTGTGGGGAAGCACTGGACTTAGGACTTGGTTGGGAAATTTATAAAGAGGAATCTCCGAAGTTCGGGGGCCTTCACAGGGAGCTGGGGAAAGGTGGCCTGGCCTGCCTTGATTTTTCAAAAGAAGTCTGAGCTTCCGGGTGTGTTACTGGAATCTTTATCTTTTGTCTTTAGAAGTCTTTGCTTAAAGGACACTGCAGAGGCATGTGTCTTCTTAAGAATACATACGCTACTGATAGTATCTAATAGTTTAGTTCTAAGGAGGCAGGCGAAACAGGCTGTTTGGTTTAAGCCAAGCAGTCACTTAGCCCTGTCTTTCACAGAAACTTGTGTCAAAGTAATCATTCATCCATCGCTCAGGGGCTGCTGGTCAGCCCCAGCAGAAACAGAAATAATATATTATTTCATTGGAGTCAGACCTAGCTTTCCCTAGGGAAAAAATGGCTGTCCAGTAACTTGGGGGCATTGCTTCAGGGAGCAAGACCCTTATTTCTCTGGAAATCTTTGCAGGTAATGTGGATGGAACATCTGTGTCTTCACTGTACTCCTACAATGGGAGAGACGTACAGGTCAGACAGCCTTCCACCTGCCTCTGGTGGACATTTCACTCTGATTTACACATGATCTAGGGGGAATTTCCAATTTCTCTTTTCACACTATCCCCTCGAGCCTAAAACACAGGATCAGCAAGATCTGGCCACTGCCACTACTCAGCTTCATTACAATCAACACCCACAGAAGGCAGTTTCCCAAAGCCCCAAACTATCCTGGTCATATCATTTACATTTAAGTACTGTCCCCTGGTGCCCCACCACCTCTCCGATTCTTTTGCTTATTTTATAGGACTTAGGGGATCCCTCACCACCTTCATTATATGTCTGCAGCTCCCACTATCATCCTATAGGTGGGTAGATCCTGCTTATGATGGTGCCCACTATAAGAAAGGGCATTTCAGAGGACAGAAGCTCAGTAAATATCTGGAGAATATACAAACCACTGAGCAGGGGTCGTCTTTACTGAGATGAAATGCCTCCATTTTCTTTTTTCTTTTTTTTAAAAAATATATTTTATTGATTTTTCACAGAGAGGAAGGGAGAGGGATAGATAGCTAGAAACATCGATGAGAGAGAATCATCGACCAGCTGCCTCCTGCACACCTCCTACTGGGGATGTGTCCGCAACCAATGTACATGCCCTTGACTGGAATCAAACCTGGGACCCTTCAGTCCCCAGACCTACACTCTATCCATTGAGCCAAACCGGTTTCGGCGCCTCCATTTTCTTGAATGAACCAAGCAAATCCTAGAATCCTGATGTACTTTATTTCACAGAATGACAGACAAGGATGGAAAAGAAGTAAGAATTAACATGTTTTTTGATTTATTTCTCTATTTCTTGACTCCATAGATTGTATTGCTGAGTTTTTTCACATTTCCAAGAAAATCCTGTTTTAATGCCATGTTATCTAGTTCAGAATCACAAACTAAGGTGAAAGGTGTCCCATTTTGTCTTGCACAATAACAAAAGTCTTACTTTCAAACTGGATAGTACAAATACATGTGAGGTCAATGTCATTCACAAAATTAGATTCTGAAGCTTATGGAACCTTCTTCGAAATGGGACACATTTAAAATTCCTAAAGCAAACAAGGATACATTTCTAAATCATCCCAGGAACACACAGATGTTACAGCCCTTATTTCCCCAAATAGCCCTGGGCCTTACTACCCAGAACATTGACTGTCCTCTTCTCAAACAGACTAAAGAATTGTGCCCACTTCATGTCAGACATGGGCTGGAAATGTGCTTGACTGAAACTTGGCTCAGGCCTGCTCTTCCTCATCACTCATAGCCTCTTCAGACAGGGATGGGACAGAACTTGGATCCCTTCTATAATTCCTGAGAAAAAACTCAAGGACTTTCAACTTGGTGGTCTCAGCATGGGCTCTGGGACCCCACAGGAACTCATAGCGAACAGGCTGGATGTTGGGCACCTGCCTGTACTCCAGGTACTGTTCCTGCACCCAAACTTTGGTGAGGAGCTCTCTAGGCTCCCCATAGATACAATGCTGCTTCCCATCATGCACCCCCCTGACTTGCAGGGCTTTCCAGATTTCCTCCTCAGAGGCACAGTCGCCCTCTGTGGCAATCAGCCACAGAACTGCGACCAGGAGGCCAGTGTTGGGAAACCTGTGCCCATCGCCCCCCATCCCATCATAGGTGAGGCCCAAGGTGGGGACCAGGACATAGGTGTGGGCGCTGGGGTCCACTTCCTTCACATCAATGCCAAAGACCAGCTTCATGACTTCAGAGGCTTCACCTAAGATCTCAGGGAAGTGGCCCTGCTGCTCTTTGATGACCCTACTCAGCATTTCTGCCTTTGTGGTCTGCTCCCTGTTGCGATACTTCAGGAGCAGGAATGCCACCAGATAACCCATTTTTAAATGTAGGGCGCTTTGGAGAGTGGACCTCGCCTCTTCAGAGCCCTCCCCGCTGCTTGGCCCCTCCTTATCTGGGCTGCTGGAGCCCTCATCTTCAGGTTGGCTACATGGAGAGGCTGCCAAGGCAGGCAGTGGGGGAGGGCAGGCACCCTGAGGGCTGTGGGGAGGACTTGCTGACTCAGCAGCAGCTGCCTCATCCTGACTCTCATGGAAAAGGACTGAGAGGAAGGAAGAGACAGAGGGGGAGGGAGATATAGCCTCCATCTCCTCTACCTCCTCTACCTCCTCTACCTGCACAGGCACAAGCTGCTGCACCACCAGGTCGAGGTTCTCCCTTGAGTCCCGAAGGTCTTCCTCAGACTTGTAGAGCTGATGGTAATGCATGATTATGTGTGCTGGGAGCGCGACAGTAGTTGGGCAGAAAGTGGGTAATGGGGACTCATGGACCTGTGAGAGAGAGGGAATGTGAGGAGCCACAGTTTGGAAATTCACCCTAGGGAGCTCTGACAAAGGCTACTTACCAGTCTCTTTTTCAGAAGTGCTTTTTGGCATCACGGGTGTCTCTCCTCAACGACCTGTTCAGTAAGATCCTGAAGGAGGAAGTGAGAAGGCTCCTCAGGGTGAAGCTGGCACAACCTAAGGTTCTGAGAAAGACAGTGTGTTGAGGTGGAATTGGGTGCTGTGGAATTGGGTGCTCTTTTCTGGATGGGGGAATCTCTTCCATACTCACTCAGTGTCTCCACCCGTCCACTCCAGGACTTTCTCCTCCCCTTATGCTGGCCAGAAACAAAATGCTCATAACAAGGCTATTCACCCCTGATACTCACCAGAAGGACTTGGAGTGGCCCCACATCTGGCAACACCTGCCCAGAGTCTAACAGGTGTCACCAAGTAACAATATCTATATCGAGTCCATCTGTCCTCGGATGATGTCCCACTCAGTCCTTACCTTGTCAGGCTGCAGGAACTAAAAAAAAAAAAACTCCATGTGTTGTCCTGCGGCTACCCTCCTAAAGGAAAGTTCTCACTTCCATAGATAACTGAGGAGGAAGTGGGGGAAGCCAGTACACCCACAGATTCCATGTCTCCCCATTCCTGACCAAAAAGGCATGGCAGGTCTGGGCTCCATGTGTCCTGGGCTCAGAGATCCGTTCACTCTTCATTGTGACTACCCTGCCAACTTGTGGAATCCTGCCTCAGCTTACTTTTGTCCAGATCCCAGACAAAGCCCTGTTGGAAAGCACCAATCAGGAAACGAGAAGAGGCTCAGGCTGACAGATTTACCCAGGGTTTCTAGGGCTGAGATTGGGGGCAGGTTGGATTTCTGTGGTGTCCCGTTTTTGTCTCAGGGATTGGGGTACGCTCCCTCCTCCCTCGGGGTCCTCTCCTTCACTTTGGCCGGACCCAATACTCTTGTCACTGTTGAGTGTATACCATTCCTCAGAGGACCGGACTTTGTCCACTCAGACCAAGGTCTTCACTTACCTGAGAGCCCCAAGAGACAAATGCGGAGGCACTACATTGCACAAACCCCAGGGGTAGCCTCAGGTGGCTACCATGTCCCCTCACCACCACCCCTTCTGTCCCCACCCCCAGGATCCTGCCATCATCACAAAATGCTGAGAGCAGGTTCTGGGCGCTCTGTCCTGGTTCCATTCCCGGTGCCCCCGTAGGTTATTCAGTTTTACTCCTGCCAGTGCAGGCCCTACCTCCATGCCTCCCACCTGGGATACTCTCTCTCTCCCCCTTAGAGAAAGACCCCACCTCACCGAGGACTCCCCACTTTCCCACACATAATAGAAAGCAGTGTGCCACTTAGATCCACTGTTGTTCCTTTTGGGGTTGAGGACTGTGGACAGCTGGCCTTTGTATCACCCTCCCTTTCTGAGAAGAGGGTGTGTGCATTGAGGCTTCAAGGGTTATCAGCACGATCACACCGGGCAGATCCTGGGACTAGCCCCAATGCTGATCTTGGGTTAATTCTCAGACCTAAGTCCTCACATCCCCAAGATCCCCCAATCCACATGCATGTGGCAGTTGCAGGAGTTGGCAGCATCCAGCCCTTTCTGCCAGGGTGTTCCCAGGTCTGAGAACAGGGCAAGCTAGACACTGTCAAGTTCCTTCCCTTTGAAGTGGGGAGGCTTCACACCTTCCACCCTCTCAGGTGGACCAGAATTTGCTTGGAATCAAGGCACATTCTTGAGATCTGACAGATCCTGGGACTCTTTATTATGCTCACCAGCTGTGGCCCCCTAAAATGACATGGAATTGGCCCTCAAGCCTCACTGCCCTAAAAGCCCAAGGCAGAAGTGCCAGGGCCAGCCTGGCAGGTTGAACCGGGCTTAGGTTACATCCTGTCACCAACACAAAAGTGAGGGTGCACCACCTGAGGCTACCCCTGCATATGGACTTCAGGGATGACAGAGGCAGGTCTGATTTCAGTGGGAACACTGTCTGTGGCACAAATCTCCTCCGAGAACTTGAGATATCCCCATTTTTTTCCTGACAGAGATTTCATATATTCCTTCTCCTAATGGTTAGTGCCTAACAAGAGGATGCATCCTGCAGGCCAAGGCTCTCTTACCCACCAAATCCCCAGTGTCTTTCAGACTCAGATGAAGAAATCATAAAGCCCACTGAGTGAGATCACCCCTCTCTCACCCCAGGAGGCCTTCAGGAAGGACACTGTTCTGAGGGCCAGGTCCCCCTAATCTCCTTCAGTGTCCTCAACTCTTCATCAGCAGGATCTGGGGTTCCGCTCTGCTGCCTATAGCCCTGTTTCCTCTACCAAACCCCCAGTGTCTCTCAGATCAATTGGAGAAATCACAAAGCACAGTGTGAGGTCACCCGTCCCCCACCCCAGGAGGCCTGCCCGATGGACACTGTTCTGAGGTCCAGGGTCCCAATCTCCCTCAGCGTCCTCATCTCTTCATCAGCAGGACCTGGGGTCACCCCCTCTGCTGCCTGAAGTTTGCTCCTTCTATCAAACCCCCCGTGTCTCTCAGACAGAATGCAGAGCTCACAAAGCACAATGTGTGATGTCACCCCTCCCCCACCCGGGAGGCCTGCCCATGGACACTGTGCTGGGGTCCAGGACCCCAAATACTCCCCAGGGTCCCCATACTGACTCTGGACTGGTCCCCGACACCCTCTGCAGACCTGACACTCTGCCATGACACGGAACCCCACAGTGTCTCCTCCCGGAAGAGGTGGAAGTCATTCCTTGCAGCTGGTGGTCACCCCGCACTTTGGGGCTCCTGAGACCGACTGCTCTGGGGCCCGGAGTCACCTTGTCTCCCCCCAGGAACAGACGGCCATCACCATGAGGCCTGCAGGCCCTGGCCCTCCCTCTGGTAACCTGAGCCCGGACCCCACACGGAGGCCTCAACCCTGATACTCAAAGGGCGGTCCGTGGGCCTCAGTGCCCAAGGCTCCCGGCAGGGGCTGAACTAGACCCGGGGACCTCCGTGGGGTCCTCACCCGGGTTCCAGGCAGAGTCTGGGCCCTGCTGACCTGAGAGCGCTATCCGCAGTTGTCCCCTCCGCCGGCCCGAAGCTGGCTTCCCAAGATGGCGCTCAGCTCCCTGGATTCACAGGTGGACGTCACCATGAGGCCTGCAGGCCCTGGCCCTCCTTCTGTGAACCGGAGTCCGGACCCCACACGGAGGCCTCAACCCCGACACCCGAAGGACGGTCCGAGGGCCTCAGTGCCCAGGGCTCCCGGCAGGGGCTGAACTAGACGCCAGGGCCCTCCGTGGGGTCCTCACTTAGATTCCAGGCGGAGTCCGGACCCGCCCGTGCAGACCTGAGAGTGCTCCCCTCAGTGCTTGTCCTTGAGCCCCCCCACACAGCACACCCCGATCTCTGAGGAGGCGGGCATTCCAGGGTTGAGGAAATCCTCCTCAGACACCCTCCACCCCCGGCTCTCAGGGCTGAGGCCAGGAACCCTGTGTCCCGAGGCCTCAGTCGTCCCTCAGGGTCATACCTGGGCTCCGTCCCTCTAGCGACCCGAAGCCGGCCTCCCAGACATGGCGCTCGCTCTCCTCGCTCAGACCTCCAGGGCGGAAGTCAGTGGGCAGACTTCTGGAAGGGGTTTTTGTGGTCCCCCGGACTGAGAGCAGGTGCAGAGATGGGTCTGGAGGCCTGGGAGTGGTGACTCTGTTCCCCTCCGGCATCTGACAACACCAGGGCCCCTGGCCTCTGCGGACCCGAGTCTGTGTCCCTCAGACCTTGCTCGACTCCCCCAGATTCCCGGGCATGTGGAGGCATGTGCTCAGCCTGACAGCCCCACCCAGGGCCCTTAGAGCTGACAGGAGCACCAGGAGGTGGATTCTGTAGTGCCCTCCTTTCCGAAGACCGAGGACCCCGAAATCCTCAATCAGGAGGGGCTCACACTTGCAGAGATCACTGCTATCCCAGGACCAATGCTGGAGGGGGCACTACTACACCCAGGATGTGTCAGGAGCAGAGAAGGAGGATTATTATGAGTGAGGATTAAAAGTCAAATCACCTCCATTGGACAAGGACACACAACCACAATGCCTCAACACTTCCCCAAATCCCTGCTGCTGCTCAGCATCTTCAATAGTAGCTAACCCTTAGAACCCACAGTTTCCACAGTGTCAACTATGCTGGTGAAGAAGCCCCATGAGACCCTTTAATCTTCTTTGCTCTCCACCCCTTCCACGGGGCTAGGATGAACCTGGGATCCTTGCTATTGGCCCTGAGATAATATTTCAGGACTTTCAACTTGCTAGTTTCAGCGTGGGCCCTGGGACCCCTCAGGAAATCCTAAGTTGCAGGAGCACATTTTAACTGGATAGTACAAATATTGTACATGTTGGGTCAATGTCATTCACACACTTAGATGCTGAAGCTTGTGAAGCCTTCTATGAAAAGAAACATTTGAAAACTTCCCATACAAAACAAGGATAAATTTCAAAATCATCACAGGTACCCAAAGATGCTACAGCACTTCACCACCACCACCCCAACTGACCCTGGGCCTCATATAGTGAAGAATTAGCCTCACATCATACCCAGCTCGAGAAGCAGCCAGACATGGACCTGAAACGTGCCCTGGTGCAACTTGGCTTAGGACCCCTCTTCCTTGCCACTCATAGCCTCTTCAGACAGGGATGGGATGGAACTAGGATCCATTCTATCATCCCTGAACAAAAATTCAAGGACTTTCAACTTGGTGGTCTCAGCGTGGGCCCTGGGGCCCCAAAGGAACTTGTTGTGTGCCACATCACTGTTGGGTGCCTGCGGGTACAAGCAGGTACTGTTCCTGGACCCAAACTTTGGTGAGGAGCCCCCATGGAATCCTATGTTTGTTTCCATCATGCACCCCAATGACCTTCAGGGCTTCCCAGATTTCATCCT